ATTGTTATAAAAACACTTTCAGGCAAGTTTTTCGCCGTATTATTTATCTTTATACCGTTTCCATGAAAGTTGATGCGTAAACGTCCATAAGCAGAATATGTAAAGACTTCTAGTATACAAATGAATTGCTTAAATAAAACAAAAGTATTGGTTTTCACAAAGTTTCTATATATGGGTCCAAGTGGACCCTAGGACACCAATGAAGTTATAAAGTGAGGACATCATCGAAGGGTTAACTCATCATGCCTAGAGATGTGAGGAACCTCTCAAGGTATCAAATCATTTTTCGACTGAGACAGTGTTCATTTGATGTACACTAATGAGTAATAGAAAAGTCTACGATGGTTTGAGTTTTCGGTTGTTCATTCTGAAGAGATATCGAAGTTTCCTTGGGTTTTTCAACAAAAAGTTGTGATTCCACTCACATCACATGAAGGTTTGGATTGTGAACTTTGTACGAGCAAAGTACTTAATGAGATTGGTTCATTGTGCAGATTTTAGCTTTTTTAGCATTTCCTTTCTGAAGATATAAACATATAAACAAAATTTGCTTTTAAACATGAGAGAATTTCGAATACTCTATATGTCACGATAGAAGATACTAGAAAATTTACAACTTGTACAATGAACTAATCTCTTTGAGAACTTTGTTCACGCAAAGTTTGAAGTTGAAACTTTCATGTGACTTGAGTGAAATTACAACTTTTTGTTGTAAAATCCAGTAAAATTTCGATATCACGAGAATACAGACTCAGAAAATCAAACCATTGTAGTCTTTTCTATTACTCACTAGTACTGATCAAATAAACATCATCTCAGTCGAAAATCGATTTGACACTGGAAGAGGTTCCTTTGCGCAAGTTGTTTTGGTTCCAATCTCGCGAAGAAACTTCTTCAATTGATTCCGGTGAAATAATGAAAACCTCAAAAGGATAAGTCCTCTTAGACTATCTATCCAGCGTTATAGGCATTCTACTGAAAATTTAGCCTCTGGCTTGGTACATACCAATAAATCGAATGGTGATAATTCAACCTAAAATTTTGTCCACAGAATCTATATATATAATGTTCAGTGTCTGCCTGTGCCGAGTAAAAGGTTAAAGGTCAATTAAGGTTATAAGCGAAAGGCCCAAGAGCTACTATATTAGGATACCCCTAGGCCCTCAAGTACTATTATATGGAGGTAGCCATAGGTCCTCAAGGGCTATTCTATGGAGGTAACCGTAGGTCTCCAAGGGCTATTATATGGGGGTACCCATAGGTCCTTAAGAGCTATCCTATGGGAATACGCATAGGCCCCCAAAGGAGTAAGCCAGTAAGGGGGTATGTAATAAGGGTTAAAGCAATAAAGAGATATGGCTACAAGGGACATAGGGCTATAAAGCCGAAGGCAACCTGGACTGTAGAACTATATGCAATATAAGTGTATCAGGTCGTAGGACTATCTATCTATATACATAATATCGGGTGTCTGTATGTCTGTTACCGGATTAAAAGTTAAATGTCTAAGGTCATACGTTAAAGGACGAAACAGCCGTGCAGTATGCAAGGGTTCTTGCTAGTAGATCTATATGTCATTAGAATGCTCTGAAATTTTCAACTCAACAAAATATTTTCTTCTCGAGATACTAAAGTCCGAAAAAAAAACAGAAAATTCAAGCATCAATCATGGAATATGAGCGAGTCTTGGAATTTTGATAACCTGAGAAGAAAATATTCTTTTGAGCTGAAACTTTCAGGACATTCTATTGATAAACAGACCTGTCTCTGAACAAAATTCGATTTGTTGGTATATACCAAACCAGAGAGTAAAATTCTAGTAAAATGTCTATAATTCTGGATAGAATGTGTAAGGGAACTTAACATTTTAAGGTTTTTTATATCTCATTAGGGCCTACTTTAGACAGAGAGTCCGAATTTAAAAGCGAACGTTTCTTCGTCAGTAATTTCTTTTTAAGTGATCCTAGCGAACCTCCAAATTTTGATCCTGCGCATTCTATCCGCATCTTTCCTCAACAAATAAGAAAGTGCCTGCGTCTCTAAGAAAATTAATGAGTTCCGCAAACTATTCTATTTTTGTTAAAACTTAATCAACCGATATCTTTCATATGCTTCACTTATTTGTCAACGATATATCACCGATGTCTTTTATGAATAGTCATAAAACTATAAAGAGAATAGAAATTCAAAGTATGTATGCATTAGCTAATCAGTATTATGATTTTAATGTAAAAAAGAAAGTCAGATCTTATTATTGTTGACAATACACAACTGATTAATCCGATGTATTTCTGATATTTAATAATTAATATAAACATTTTTCAAACATACGAAATTTTCTAGTACGCTCGAATTTATTTAATATAAGCAAGAAAATATATGATTATGATTATAGATTCTTCTATTTTGATCCTGAAAATTATTTCTCGTAATTTCCTCCTCGGAAAAAAAACATCTTTTATATTGACGTTTAACGTATTACTAATCCTTTCGTATGATTCATTCCTGCGACAAATCGGTCATTCAGTTATTGTTTGTTTTTAATTATATTCAATACGATATTGTTAGGCAAACGAAAGGTTTTAAAAACTATTTAACATTTCTGAAAAAAAATGCAATTTGAAATCTTGTCTTCCGAATTCAAAAGCAGATTATCCTTATCTTGATCTTTGACATATTGAAGTTCGAAATATTTGAAGTATTTGTTAATAAACAGAAATGGGGAAAAAAACCTGCATGATGAATTGCAAATAGAACTGATTGTTAGACATCTATGAATGAAACTAATTTATTTGATAACATTTCTATTTAACCAAGAAAAAATGATATCATATCGTATGTGTTGATATAAATTAGTAATCTGCAACAAATAAAACACATTCTCTTTAAAGCTGAATTTTTTTTTTAATATTAAATATTATATTTCAATTAATCTTAATATGATTATTTTATTAAATAGGTAATTACGATCTTCACAAACAAATATCAAGTGGATAGTATTACCCAATCTAGAGTAAACAATAGTTAGTAAATTATAGATTAATAATATATAGACCAAAATCTATAAACTAGCAATAAAATTCTTAACGATGTTATTATTCAGGAATATGTTGTATGGGCAAAAAGTTCTATGATACTTTTAATTATTCCATTTTTCTCCAACATTGAAAATAAACACAGAAAACAGAGTATATTTAACGTCATTTTAGTTGTAGAGGTCATAGAGTATAGAGATTTTCTGGAAAAGGACTTAAGCATAAATCCTGAGTGAGTATTCCTTCAACAACCCGCTGACTTCACTGTGAATACTCAGCAAGTAAGAAAGAATATTCAGGATTTCTGCTTAAGTCTTTTTCTAGAAAATCCCTATAGTCTATGATCTTTAAAACTAAAATGACGTCAACTTATATTCTATATTCTATTCCCTTGTCAATGGTGGAGAAAAGTGAAATAATCAAAAGTATCACGAAACTTTTTCTCAGTGTTGTATTACTTAGAGTAATATACTGATATGACCTTTGCATGTCTACTTATCGTTCGCACTATAGAGATGCATCAGATTGCTTACTATGACTTGAATAAAAATGAAAAAATAATTATAAAATGTAATTATTCAAAATTATTAGAGTCTATATTGTTTCAAATATCAATAACTGTTGTATAAATATTGACTTTTATGTTTGAACTTTAGTCGTATACTAACGAGAGAAATCTACCAGTTGATCATTTGCTTTTGAGTTGAGACTATGTGCATCGTGTTAACTCTAATGAACTATGAGTACTCTGAAAAGAGTTCATATCCTTAGCCTGTTGCTTAAAAGATACCGCATTTTTTTCGGAACGCCTCAGCAACACCGGAAAAACTTATTCTCGAATTTTAACTTGAAACTTTAAGGTTTCAGGTCTTTAAAATTTGTTTTCATCGTCAAATAAGAACATTGAATCTGTTGATGTATATAAACAATGTAACAGACATGCTGTTACTATACACGTAGCTCGGGATAGGAGAAATGAGAATATCTAAAACTTTCACAATTATCCTATCTCTGTTGAAATTCAAAAATCAATTTTTCTGGTGTTGCTGATGGAAGTCACGGCATTTACCTACAAAAATATCGTAAAAATGCAGTATCTCCGTAGCAATAAGCTACAGATTCGAACTCTTTTCGGACTATTCATAGATCATTCGGATCTACATGATGCACATAGTCCTGACTCAAAAGCGATTAGTCAGTTGAGAGACTTCCTTTGTAAGTTACGAATGGAAATATCTGACCTTACGATTCAAGTATTCTATTCTAATTCGAATGTTAGAAGCAGCACTAATATATTTTCCTACCTTTCGAACGATCTCGATAACTTATTTTATTACAATTATAATTTTGCTACAATGTATATGAAACAGGTTGAATTCTATATATCAAAAATGAAGCCAATGCTAATAAACAACGTAGTCAATTAATCATCTAATATATTTACCTGATAATTTCAAACAGACATAAGTATCATATTTGTTCAAACGTTACAAATTTTAGACATGTCATTCTAATATATTCAGACCGATTGTAGTATACTGGTTGTAATACACATCAATCGAATTTTCTCTTCGAGATGTTTCGATAAATATACACTTAATTTTGCTTTACCTTGAAAATCAATCAATATATATAAATCTTCAAAGCAAAATAAAAATAAAAGACTTTGATGGTCTTATTCATACTTGAAAGCCAATGTTGATCCATTATTATTATAACACTTTTATGTGTTCAATTGTATTTAAAAACAATTGATAAGGAATTTTTTTTTTTATAAAAACTATTGTAAAACAATAAATGACTAAGACATCTAGAGAAATACAATCTAAGTTTTATTTGTTGGAGTTTTAAAAACAAAAAGAATGAAAAGGGACAGGATGATATTTTTGTTTTAAGAAGAAAACCAATAATCATAAACTATTGGGATGAGAAAAAAAAATTAGTTCGTTTATCGTTTTGTTCACTCTACATATCATCAATTGATTTTAAAGTCAATTCAGGTTTATCATAACCTAAATCTTCTGGTGTTGATATACCTAATTCATTCAATGTTGGACGAATTTCTTGAAGAATCCATGGCCATACTTGATTTGAAACAGCATTTGATTTATAACGAATAGCTTCTAAATATCGAACAGCTAATGCATGTGTTACGTCTTTTTTCTTTCTTTCTTACTTTGTTATCACCGAGACAGCAACGTGATGGTATTACAGAACAGAACAAAAGAATAATCTCCCTTCGCATGGAATCGAACCATGCATCTCCTGCTTTCCGGGCAGACGTATTAATCACTGTACTAGAAAGGAGTGTTTATCCCGTGTTCTGTCTTATGACTGAAGGGAAACACTTCAGGCATGGCAGAATGATCATTAACACGTCGACATACTTTTAAACAAACTGTTATAATTTCTGGTTCTGGAATTAAATTAAGACGATATATATGATTAATACCTTGTCAAATATCCCAACGTGAAATTTCTCACAAAAACTTAAATACTTCTAAATTACCATCAATATTTGGACGATCAAAATATGCTCTCTATCGTTCATCAAATTCTTCATCAGTTTCTTTACTATGTGATGACATATTTCGACACATTGTTGTCCACATTGATCGTATTGATTTATTTAATGGTTGAACAAGAACGGAACGAAATAGATAAACCGTTTCAAATATAATTTAGAATTTTTTATACATATTTAAAAAAATGAATTAAATAATATTTGATACATAAATAAAAAAAAAAGAGAACGAATCACAGAATCTATTATTGATCACTATGTATATCAAGTTCTTCTATTTGTTTATCAATACTTTGAATAGCTTTGAGTAATACTTGTTTACGTTGATTTAAAATACTTCGTTGCATATTAGAATGATTACTTATTTGACTATTATTATCGTCAATTG